CGGTCTTATTTTTTTTATTTTTACTACTAGGAGATTAGTAACATTTTTCAAAATGGCTCGTAGACTGATTATTAATCGTCTTGATAAGGATGAATTGACTTATGAGTTAACTTTTCGGGGCATTAGTTTAGGGAGTTGTGATGAGATGAGGCACAGGCTGTCCTCAGCGATTCAATTGGAACGTGATGGCGATAGTCTACATTATCCAGATTATCCATTTTCTTTTGAGGAGGATGAAACAGCAGTAAAGAAGTCACTACAAGACGTTATGAAATTAGTTGATAATCTGACAGGAAATAGGACGTCCAGTGATGCCACGAAGATTCAAAACAAGTTCACTTTTCTGTTGAATCGTTTGGATAGGATGACAGCCACAAGCGTTGTGGAGAGTACAAGGAAAGCTGATTTAACTGCCATGACTTTATCTGCGATGAATAAGTTTAACACTAAATTAAATGACATTGACATTACAAATCGTCCAGTACCGGTGAGCCTCACTCATTTGCAAGCTAGAACGTTTGATCCACCTGCTAGTTCTTCGATAGTTGAGGATATTTCTTTTACACAGGGTGCTCATAAGATAGTACCACCTCACAAATGGGATTTGAAGAAGTTTTCAGGAGATAGTAAGGGCATGTCTGTTACGGCTTTCTTTGAACGAGTTGAAGAGCTGAGAGTAGCTCGAAATGTTCCAAAAGCTATGTTGTTAGACACAGGGGTAGACCTTTTTGCTGATAAGGCCTATCAGTTTTATAAAGATTGTAGGACTCGATTGTCATCTTGGGATGAACTAGTTGAAGAATTTCGAACGGAGTATCTTACAGCTCATCATTTAGACGCATTGTTTGAGGAGTTACAGAAGCGTACGCAACATCCATCAGAGTCAATAGGGGTTTATTTAGCGGTAATGACTAGTTACTTCAATCGTTTGCGTTGTTCGATGTCGGAAGATGCTAAATTAAAGGTCATTATGCGGAATTTGCACCCATTTTATTTGGATCGGTTACGAGATCCACCTCCATCCACCATTGCGGAGTTACGAGAACAATGCAGAAAAATGGAAGACAGAAGAGACCTTATTAACAACTATGTCGAACCGTCAACTCGAAGGGCTGGAATCATGGAAAGGGATTTGGCTTATGTCGGTGATGAGGAAGATTCTCGAATTTCTGAAGTTGCGTCTACTCAGGCAGTTCCGTCTCCAAATAGTAGGTCTGTTGTTTGTTTCCGTTGTAAACAGCCAGGTCATCGGGCGATAGGTTGTGCTTTACCTAGGCCCATAAAATGTTTTAAATGCCAGCGTGAAGGATTTACAGTTCGAAACTGCCCCAACTGCAATAAGGGAAACGACGGCCGTCGATCTTAATTGGTCGTGGAAGATCGGCGGGAGATATGGACGACTCGACTAGGCACCTACTACCAATCTTAGACTATATTTTAGAACATGTAGAAGGGGATGAACGACCCTTTTTAAAAGTTGATGTGCTGGGGATTCGTTTAATGGGTTTGTTAGATTCGGGTGCTTCTGCCACTATTATAGGGAATAAGGGTTGGTCGTTAATAAGGAAATTGGACATTATTTTGGACACTTCAAGTAAAACCAGTTGTCGGGTGGCAAATGGACAAGTCTGTCAGAGTATTGGTGTCTGTGAGCTACCATTTCTTGTAAGAGGTAGGTTGAAGTTGATTAAGGTACTAGTAGTACCAGATATACCTCATACACTAATTCTGGGCACAAATTTTTGGAGAGCAATGGGAATTGTTCCTGATCTTCGCCACAATGAGTGGTACTTTTCCAAAGAAACGTATCACCTGAATACTGTTGAGCACCTAAGAAGTCAGACTGTGTTAACCGACATGGAGGATATCCGATTAAAGGCAGTGATTGCCAGAAATCGATCTGAAATGGGAGAAGCCTTAGGATGCACTGATATGGCTGAGCATGTCATTGTGACACAATCTTCGCCAATCAAACAGAGATATTACCCAGTGTCGCCCGTAATCCAACAACATATTAATAAGGAACTTGATGAAATGCTCGCTAAAGGCGTAGTTGAAAGGTCTCACAGTGGTTGGTCGTCGCCTCTTTTATTAGTCAAGAAGAAGGATGGGAGTTATCGTTGTTGTGTTGACTATAGGAAGCTTAATGCGGTGACGGAGAGGGATGGATATCCACTGCCATATGTCTCTAACACATTAGATAAATTAAGGGATGCGCACTACCTTTCGTCTCTTGACATTAAGTCTGCTTACTGGCAGGTACCTGTAGCAGAAACATCTAGACCTTATACAGCTTTTACTGTACCAGGAAGAGGGTTATTCCAATTTCGGCGAATGCCTTTCGGATTGCATAATGCACCTGCTACTTGGCAGCGTTTGATTGACAATGTTTTGGGTTCAGAACTGGAACCTCATGTCTTTGTATATTTAGATGATGTAGTAATCGTTACGCAGACTTTTGAGAAGCATTTGGCCGTTTTAGAAGAAGTATTTAAGAGGTTGAAGAAGGCCAAGCTTACCGTAAGTTGGGATAAATGTCAATTCTGCAAGCCAGAGATGAAATATTTAGGCTATGTTGTTGATCGCAATGGTCTTCATGTAGATCCCGATAAGGTATCTGCAATGTTGAAGCTTCTAGCACCAACAAATGTCAAGGAAGTCAGAATGATTTTGGGTACTTTCTCTTGGTATCGGAGGTTTATACCCGATTTCTCCACGCTTATTTCGCCTATGTCAGCATTATTGAGGAAAGGACGTAAGTTCGTATGGACAGATGAATGTGATGCTGCTTTTCAGAAAATTAAGGAATACTTGGTGTCCGCACCAGTTTTAAACTGTCCTGATTATGGATTACCTTTCGAAGTTCACACTGATGCATCTGGATATGGATTAGGCGCAGTGTTGGTACAGAAGAAAGATGGCGAAGACAGAGTCCTTAGTTACCTAAGCCGATCTTTATCTAAACAGGAAAGGAATTACACTACCACGGAGCGCGAATGTCTCGCAGTCCTTTGGGCCATCGAGAAACTTCGACCTTATTTGGAGGGCGTACGCTTTACAGTTTATACAGATCATTGGTCTTTAGTATGGTTACATAATCTCAAAGATGTAAATGGACGTTTGGCTCGATGGGCATTAAAATTGCAACAGTACGACTTCGTCGTCGTACATAGAAAAGGAAAAGATCACGTGGTTCCGGACGCGTTGTCGAGAGCAGTTCCTGTATTAGATTCTTGTGAGGTTCGCGAAGTGAATGTAGGTATTCAGGACAGATGGTATAGCAGATTGTTTTCCAAGGTACTGAAACAACCGTTTAAGTTTGGGAATTTTCGCATTCATCAGGGGAAATTATATAAATATACTAATCCGAAATTCAAGGGTCTTGGAGACCCAGGAGATGATTGGAAATTGGTGATTCCTAAGGATGAACGCATCAGGCTTTTGCAGGAAGTTCATTTGGATCCTACATCTGGGCATTTGGGGGTCTATAAGACTTATAAGAGATTAGCAGAACGTTATTTTTGGCCTAAGATGAAATTTGATGTGTCTCGTTTCGTGAGAACTTGTAAAGAATGTGTTACCTATAAACCAGACTTACAAAGGCCTGCTGGACTCATGGTGTCTCAGCCCAAAGTACGTCAACCTTTTGAGATGATTTCTACGGATTTAATGGGACCACTTCCTAGGTCATTGAGAGGAAATCAGTATATTCTAGTTGTCACGGATTACTTCACTAAGTACTCGTTATTATTTCCATTAAGGGATGCCAAAACGGCGAAACTGGTAAAGCTCATTGAAGACGAAGTTTTTCTTGTTTATGGAGTACCAAGGTTGTTACTTTGTGACAACGGTCCCCAATACACCTCTAAAGCGTTTAAGAAGTTGACTGATAGTTACCATGTCACCATACGGTATAATTCAAATTATCCTCCACAAGCGAATCCAACAGAACGGGTGAATCGTACTATCAAGTCCATGCTTGCAATATACGCTTCTGACAATCATCGTACTTGGGATGTGAATTTGTGTAAGATAGCTTGCGCTTTACGAACCGCTGTGCATGAGACGACTCAGTACGCACCATATTTCATGAATTTTGGACGTCGCATGAAGCTCTCTGGTAAGGATTATAACGAGGATCTTTCTGAATCAGGAGGTAATGTGGATTACGAGACTCGTCCTGCTGTTTTTAAGGAGTTATTTTTAGAAGTTCAAGAACGAATACGAAGAGCAGCGGCGAAGAACAAGAAACGGTATGATCTGCGAAGAAGACATGAAGAGTTCTTACCGCATCAGTTGGTCTGGCGGAAGAATTATCCTTTGTCAGATAAGGCTCGTTATTTCACTAGTAAATTAGCACCGAGGTATGTAGGACCATTTTACATTAAGAAGAGACTATCGCCATGGACGTATGCGTTGATGGATGAACATGGTAAGGATAAAGGTGTATGGAGTGCCAAGGATTTAAAGTCAGTTAGGGATGGTGTTTCGTATGTTTCGTAAACTGTTAGCTCTGTGAGTTCGGGCTCTAGGAATAGGCTCACGCGGGTATAACCAACGCTGTGGTAGAAGTCCACAAATTGGCCACTTCCTGACTAGGAAATCTTTGCCTATTAGAGGGACTCCCCTCACTGGGGTGCGACAATAGTTGGAATATCCCGGTTCCAAACCAAGGTTCCTTGGACGGGAGGGCATTCATAAGGGGGGTCGTGTTCGGTGGCGGTAGGGCTACGGCCGGCTATAGCTTTGTCGATTGGGGCACACTGGGCACGACTACTATGTCCCTCTCAACTCCATTGCAACTGGAGACGCCAGCACTTTGTCGCAGTGGTATAGGTGAGAAGACTCCCGCACAGGCGTCAGGGTTCTTTTGTACCGACCTTCTGTCGTTTCAGGTCATGGGCCTTCTCTCATGCTAGTGAATTGGTGGTCACTAGATTTTTGTCTAACTAATATCTGTTTTTCTTTTTGTTCCACCAGTGACTGTTCGATTTTCCTAGGTGGTTCGGGGGTGTCTGGGCGAGAGCCGCTGCCTGCTGGGAATCCGGAGTGGGAGGTACAGAGGTTCCTACGGCGCAGCAACTAACATCATGCAGCGAAAACGGAACGCTCTGCCGGGTTCTCTGGGAGTCGGTGGACGGTTCAGGTGGCTCTGGGCTAGGTGGGGGAATCGGTCAGCCATGTGACCTTCCTGGTATGAAAGGGGAAGTTTTATTAGTTTTAAGGTAATTGTAATTTAAGGGTACTGGGGTTTTTCAATTTGATTTCGCTCTTATAGTTGTAAGTTTTTAGAGGATATCTCTCTGGGATTACTATGTATGTATCAGAGTGTAAACTGGGTTTTTACTTTATTAAGGATATGGAGGGAAATATTTTCAGTCAGCTAGCGCTGATGAAAATTTACTGTGGCAAATTTTCTTGAAGCAGGGGAGGAATGTAACGGTTTTAATCGAACGTTATGCCTTATCGCCTATTTCTGTCTCAAAACTAGCAGAGAATTAACTTATAATCTAGAAATTACCTTGAATATGCTCCTGTCGTAAAACTTCATTAGATTTTCGAGAAAACACAGCTTTATTCAGGTGGGATTTAGCGTAACTGGTGTAAATGTTCCTTCTTAGGACTCACATAATTTTTACAAGGTTACACTTAATTTCACTATGGTTTTCAGCAGTAGTTTTCACTCTTAAAATATTGTTTACAATAACCTCTGTATTTTGTTGATTTTATTCAAAAGGAATTTAGCGTGACTGGGGTAAATGTTCCTCCTTAGGGCTCACATAATTTTTACAAGGTTACACTGAAATTCACTATGATTCTCAATAAAACTGTTTACTTGTAGAGGTGTTGTTTACAATGTTTTTGTTATTTTGTAGGTTAAAACTGATGTCGGATGTCATTTAATTTCATGAATTATGCCTGTCGCATTTCGAGATGTCTATCTTTGTTCGATAAGTGATTCTTAGGTAATACCTCTCTCTCTCTGCTTGACGGAGGACAAGGGACGTCATATGTCTGATTTCGATTCATACGCCAGTGATTCATGAACTAAGGAGTGCTCGTTTAAGCGGTGGTTGCTTTTCATGGGCATATTTTTGGGTTTTCTTATTGGTCGAGCAGTGTTAACAGAGCTGTCAGCCTGAATGCGAATGGTCGTATTCTAGTAGTTGAAGGAGGTCATTGGTCGCACAGTATAACCAACAATAATTTCTAGAGATCGGACAGTGGCGATTGGTTTAAATGGATTTTCTTTGAAACGATTCTGCGCAGTCGAGGTTTTATGCTAGGGGGCGAAGAACGGCGTAATTTGTAACACGTGGCAGCTTCGTCTTTCTTTTCCAACAAGGAATGTTAATGGAGGTGTTGAACTGAAAATTCGCTAAGAGACTTTTTACTTTTTTATGTGATTTTGTATATCATCCCGCGTGGGGAGTCTAGTAAAAGTGTCTCTATTTTATGGGAAGCATTGATGGTACGTTTTGAAGTTGGTTAACGCGAAGTTAGACCGGTATTTTTTATGTGATTGTGTGCCGGCTTTCCCATCTCATCTTGAGGAGTATTGAATATTGAAGTTCAACCCATCCGTCGTCCTGTAGCAGTTTGATGGTTGGAGACCGATCGTAATTGGGTTATATATTGAAGGGATAATCGTTTAACCATGTCTTGTATTTGGATATCCCATTTTAGACAATTGTCTAGCGTCACGCCCAAATACTTGACATGATATGTTTTGCTCAGAGACCAAGAAGATTTACGAAATGGGAGTTCGATATGAATTGAGTTATTTTGAGGAATATTGGTTTTAAAATTTGAGAAAGGTAAGTATACCGTTTTTTCTAAATTTATTGTTAATAGATTTTCATCAAACCAATGGACCATGTTGTGTAAGTCTTTTTGAAGTTTATTTTCGACTTCGATCCAACTAGTTGCTCCAACAAATAGCGCTGTATCGTCCGCAAAGGAGATTATTGATCCATTGAATTTTAAATTGAGGAGGTCATTTAAGTATAATATAAATAAAACTGGACTTAACACTGTGCCTTGTGAAATTCCATAAATTATTTCTTCTGGCGAACTTTTCCATCCATCTATTTCTACTATTTGAGTGTGGGCATTTTCCCTTATTCCCACGGTATATAGTTTTGACAAATGTTCTTTATGACTAATTATGTCAAAGGCCTTTGCCAAATCTACAAATACACAGGCACGTTGTGATTGATGAAACTTTAGTTATATGGCGTGGATGATTAATTTTTTGCCAGAACATAAAAACAAGGCTCATAAATATAGCATTAAATTTTATAAACTGTTTTTTTTTCCGAAGAATACACGTTTCACCTGTCTATTTATAGTGGAAAAGGTGATGATACATATGGTTAAGAACATACTGATGCTATTTCAATGAAGCTAATAACAGGATTGTTAAATAAAGGTAGAGTCCTATAATCAGATAATTATTATACAAGCTTGTCTTTAGCTATTAAGTTACTAGAACATAAATTACTTTTATGTAGAATACTTAGAAGTAACAGGAAATGCTTTCCAAAAACTATCACACATAAAAAACTAAAACCTGGGGACATTATTGCAACGGAAAACAAGAAAGAAGTAAAAAATTTGAAACGGGTTGATAAAAGACCAGTTCTTGTGCTTACTACATACACAAAGCATAAATGTGACACTACTGAAACTGAAAAGAAAAACCGAAAGTGGGAAAATGTTCGAAAATTTGATCCAGTAATTAGCTATAATTATGCAAAGAAGACAGTTGATATATCAGACCAGATGGGCTTGATTTGAGAAAAACAATAAAATGGTATAAGAAAGCTGCCATGGAAATTATTTTTGGTACCATGTTAGTCAAAGTAAATTTTCTAAAAAAAGAAAATGTCAATGCTATAGTTTCGAGAGCACCTCATAGAATGCCTTCTAAAGGAAACAACAACCAAAAAGTCAAAAAGTTTTACGAAAATACATCGTTTGCAGAAGATGGAAGGCCAGGCAAGAAAAACTAGGAAAAGATGCAAAGAATGCTACAAAACTATATCTGCAAAAAAAGGAAAGAAAGTTGCAGACCAAAAAGCAAAAAAGGTCTCAAAATTTTGTTCGGATTGCGAAAACACACTATTTTTTTCTTTAGATTGTTTTAACAATGTTCATCGTAAATAGAATAGTCTCAAGAATTTTTTGTTGTTGTGATAATAAACTTTTTGTTCATCCTTTATTTTATTTCTATATCTGTCATAATTTATATGAAAATAAATAAAAATCACGATCCTGATCAAGCACATGTTATATCAACATGTTTTCATTGCGGGTAACTTTTGATGTAAACCTTAAGGTAGGCGTCTCAGTTTATAACCCAATAAAGTAAAATGTACACAGCGAGATACTGGTGGGTCACTACGACCTATAAGAAAGAACTAGGCGACTCACCGCTGGGTTGCTACGACTAGTCAATATTATTCTAGCGACCCACCAGTGGGTCGCCTCATCGGGAATGTGTTAAGGTACACATTTAAAATATTTACACAATTATATTTAATGTCAACTATTCTAAAACTTTGAAATATAAAATTAATAACAACGAAAAAAAATTTCTTATTTTTATACTAGCTTTATTTATTTATTTTTTTTAATATTATGAGTATATTGTTATATCAATATTTTTAAACAGCAATTACTATCTGTTTGGCAGATATTAGAAGTGATTTACTTTATAAAAATATGAAATGTAAAGTGGTTAAAAAAAATATTTATCTTGTATACTGTTGTACAAAAAAAATGTTTTTTATCCGACTTCGTCGTAATATTTTTTTTTTATATATGTTCAGCGATTCTTTAACACGGTTTCCGATTTTAATGATTCTTTGTTAGAAAGGGGGTACGTTAGGAGTCGTACCATATAAATTTGGTCAAAATCTAATAATTGGGTCCATTAGAAAATCCTCTAATTCTTAATTTTTTATGTATGTTTAGCGGTAATTCTTTACCACCTTGTCCGATTTCTAGAAGTTGAGTCATTTATTTTAACAGCTTGTAGAACTCGTCAAAAGAAGTCGACATACCAAAAATCAACTAAATAAAAGTTGCCTATTAAAAGAAATAGAAAGGGATTTTAAAATTTTGGCTATTTTTTTTGTTTTACGATTTTGAGAACGATTTTCGGTTAGTTATTGGTATCAAGCGTTTAGTTCGTATCACTTTAATTTTTTTGATATTTTGTACGGAAAAATGGCCCACGTTTATGGAAACAATGAACTAGTGGATATAATACTAACATTCGGAGAGTGCCAACAAAATGAAGCCGCAGCATATCACCTTTACGCGGAAAGGTTTTCATTAAAAAATCACCCGGCTCCACGGATTTTTTTAAGTTTAGTTATTCGATTTCGTGAGACAGAATACTTGAAAGAACAACAAGGGGGTCACGCTGGAAGACCTGCTCCACCTGAAATGGTAGAAATTGAGGAAAATATTTTGGAAATGGTGGAAAATGACCCAACAATAAGTACCAGAGCCATAGCAACTCAAGTCGATGTTTCCCATAGTAAAGTGTGGAAAACAATACGACAGGAACAATATTATCCTTATCATTATAAACAGGTATAAGCATTACAACCTGAAGATCATCCTAGAAGAGTTGAATTTTGCCAGTGGTTTTTACAACAGTTGAACAGAAATGAATATTTTACTAAAATAATTTTTACTACAGACGAATCCAAATTGTTCACAAAATGGGATATTTAATTTTCACAACAATCATGTTTTGGCAGTAGAAAATCAGCATGCCGTAAGAAGATCTAATTTCCAACATAGATTTTCATTAAATGTTTGGGCTGGTGTAGTAAATGGCATGCTTATTGGACCATACTTTTTTCCACCTCGGCTAGCCAGTGACATTTATTTAGATTTTCTTTGACACCATCTGCCTGAATTATTAGAAGATATTCCACTGAATATTAGGCAGGATATGTGGTGTCTACATGACGGAGCTCCTCCGCATTTCAGAAGAGGAGTTCGTGAATATTTGAATGAACAGTTTCCGAATAGATGGATAGGGAGGAATGGACCCGTTTCTTGGCCTGCACGCTCCCTGGACCTGACGCCTTGTGATTTTTTTCTGTGGGGTTATTTAAAACAGTTGGTGTATAATGATGGAGAAGTTAATACTGTGGAAGAACTTCAAGACCGCATTGTAAATGCTTGTGATGTTATTCGCGGA